GTGTCAAGTGGAGTTTTTAATCAGTCAATTAAACGAATTAATTGAGTTTACACTGTGCTCGCAGCATTTATATCGTAACTTATATAGAATGCTAATATACGTCGTAATATATTATATAATTATATGTAATATATTTATATTCATATATAATTGTATATATATATATATATAACTATTTCTTATCTCTTTTGTACATCTACATACATTGCATACACGTATATCGAAACTCTTAAGCGAAAGCTTCAATTAAAAAATGTTGATATTTGATTAAATACCGTAATTACAAACATTTATTACCCTTGTTTCTTATTTATAAATATGCCAAAAAGTGATAATTAATTTCAACAAATGATTTTGGAAACGAATCATACACCCGTAAATACTAAGAAATCGAATTATGAATCTTAACAACATTATTTTATATTTTAATATCATATAAGTCGTACATTTTATTCTTTATAAAACTTTATATTAAATCATAACTGAAATTCTTTGTTTATACGCGATATTAATTGCATAAATACAAAATGGAATTCTTTGGCAAATAAATAACAATTATAAGCGTTTTATAAGTAAAAAGCATTTGCAGTGACTAAGAAATAAAAATTAAAGAATGATTTTTTCTGATACACATATTTGAATTGTAAAGTTGAATGAATTCGAATATGTGTTTCAAAAGAAATATGTGTAAATTTTTCCTTTTAAATTTAAGCATGAAAAGTACGTACACAGATTAATGAAATATATAAATACAAAATAAGCGCGATATATTAAACGAGATTTTGAGATTTCTTATATTTATAATAATTTTATTCTTTTCTCATTAAATGAAGCAATTAAAATCGAAAATATGTACGTACTATTCATTCAAAGATTAAAGATCACATTATTTTAAGATTTCTGTTTCATCAACATCTAATATAACAACATGAATTCACTTTTTTTTAGTGTTGGGACTTGTAGATTGAAACACACTTGATGCAGACATTAAATTTTCAATGTATTGGCTTAGCACTTGATTTTCGCTTCTCAACTTCAAGTTTTCTTCCTTTACACTATCTACTCTTTGAGATAAATCTGAAAAATAAAAAAGTATTTTAAATAAAATATTTTATAAATAAAATATAATAATTGTATTAATATAATTTAGAAATATATTCACCATCTAATGTATTTTGAAGTTCAAGCACTTGAGCAATTAATCTCGCTTTCTCTTCTTGTTCATCTGGGCTTATATCAGGATCTAAACCTATGATTATAAAATATTAAAGATATAAAATATTTTAATTCTTTCATGAAATTATAAAATTAAAAATTTTAACTTACTATTAGGACTACAACTTCCATTTGTGAATGTAGATGGTATAGAATCCATGCTATGTCCACTACCAAGTGCATCTGATATATGGCAACTATTATCCAGAACTTCTTCTTCAGGTATTATCACTACATATAATAATTTATTAATATTCATAAGAATCATATATTTCAAACAAAATTCCAAACAAAAATCTTCAAGAATCATTTATAATATATGAAATTATTTATAAGAAATAAAAATATTTTTCAAATAATTCTTTATTTTTTATATCCAAAAATTAAAAAGCATTAAAAAAATATTTGTTGCGATTTATTGATAGAGTTAATTATATTAATCTCAAAATATATCAATAAAAAACATAAACAAAGCATGTAATATATCACAAATATATTCATTCTTTTTTAAATTAATTTTTTACTAAAATCATGATTTAATAATTCATATAGCGAAAGCAAGTATATTTCGATCTAAAGCAAGTATTAAATATTTCTTAGAAAAGTAAAAAATATCTAAGAATAGGTTATAATGGAAATATGCGATACTGAAATTATAAAAAGTAGGTCAGAGACATGGTACACAAGCTTTCCTACCTTGTGGATCATCGTCTGCCAACGGTATGCTGTTCATATCATCTAGAAGCTTGTCTGTCACCGACGTGGACATTTTGACGCGTAGATCCTTTACGAGAGAAATAACACTTCAAGAGAAACCTGCGCGCAAGTTCGACGTTTGACCCTTGAAATTTATCGATTTTTACGAGAAATTCACACGAAACTGTTTATAAGAAAAATACGAAATATGAATGATTGTTATATAATAAATATTGGCATAATGAAAAATTAATAAGAAAAATTTTTGAAATTAGATTTCGTTTATTTGATAAATATTTCTTTGAGAATATTCGCCATTTGCTTTGTTGCTGACACCTAAAGATATACAAATTTACTATCGTCTGTGATAATATTGTGGTAATTTCAATTATTTTAATATGATTTGAATAATAGAAATTATGAAAATAACAAAAAATGTAATTTTTAAATTCCTAACTATATGCAGAATTAAATTGATTAAATATTAATTAAAAATTATCTTAGATTTTTCTTTTATAGAATAAAATTTATATTTTTATAAATATTAATAAAATCAAAATATTGAATAAATATTTCATGTAATGTTTCTTTCATATAAAATAAAATTTGAAAATGAAGTTAATAAATTTAAAAAATTATTAAATTATATAAGTCAAATATATAAGTTAAATATTCCAAATATATTTATATGTATGAAATTATAACATTATAGTTTTAAAAAAAAAATTATAAAAGTATATCGATATTTCTATAATTTAATTTCTGTGGTCAATTGCTATTAGATAGACAAGGAAAGGAAATAGTAAGATAAGGACAGAGATAGAACAAAAATTATGGAATCAGCGCCATCTTCAGAGTGCCGCAAATGAAACACAGTAAATAAGGACAGAAAAAAAGAAAAGAGATAGATATAGAATAAGAATTAACTATCAATACCATCTCTCAAGTATCAAAGAAAACTGGTAAAAAAGTTCTATGGTAAAAAAGAAAAAAAATTGACTATCAGCGTCATCTCTTCAGTACTTTTGGAAGTTTATCAATGAAGAAATGTTTTTAAAAGTTAAGAGATGGCGAAAATAGTCAGTTCTCGCTCTCTTTTACCATTGAATAACTAGTTTTCTTTAATATTAGAGAAATGGCAACGATAGTTAATTCTTACCATATGTCTTTTTATACCTATTTTATGTCCTTACAATTTCTATTTTATTTGCGGCATTCTGAAGATGGCACAGAATCACAATTTCTATTCTATCTCTATCTTTCTCACACTATTTCAACTCCTTGTCTATACAAAGTTTAATAACCAAAAATAGATATTCTGATAATGATAATTAAACATATTTTTATTTTAACATTATCAAGAATTTTTATATTTTATTAATAAAATTCAATGATATAATTCCTGATATATAAAAAACTAATTAATTATGTATAGCCAAATTTATTATTTAAGAAATAATCAACTATAGTTATAACTATAATTATCTATGGACTTAATAATTACTTCGACAATGAATAGATATTTTTTTTATAAAAAATATCATTATATCCGATGCATAAAAAAGTTCATCCAGTGTCCGTAGAGCGGAATGATACGAACTTTACGAACCGGGGTTCTTCAATAGTTGGATTCAATTATAATAATTATAATCTTTGATGGCCGAGAGTTTCATGGTGTTTGTAGTTTTGTCAGAAGAGAAAGAGGAACCGTTATCGGCATGGGTGGGGGCCCGTGCCGATGCAATGGCGGTACAAAGAAGCGATGCCAGTGTGGCCCTGGCATCGCTAATACTATAATTTGAGATGCATTTTAATGCATCTCTGAAAAGTATCACTAAGAGGCAATGCACAGGAAGTACCGGAAGTATTCCATAAGAATACCCGGTGTTTCCTGGAGCTGCCAGAATAGGCCACCGTGGAGGTTTTAGCCGGTAAGAGTCCGGCACTATCCCGGTCTTCCCCCCCAGGGAGGCCAGGATGTCCTATGAGGATTTCCTCCACGTAAAAAAAAAAAAAAAAAAAAAAAAATGCATTAAAAATACAAAATCTTCTTTTAAAAAATAAGATTTAGATCAATAAAATTATTATAAGTTCAAACAAAAAAATTGAGAGCCCCAAAATAACCCTATCAAAATAACTTATAATAATAATCACTTATAAAAATATAATAACCCTATCAACTTTTATTCGATTTTTATTGCATTTTTTAATATTAAGAAAAACGGGAAATTTAAAAGAAAATAAAAATATCGAAAATTCCACAATAAATAAAATTTTTGTCCAAAAATTCGACTTTGTATTAGGAGAACATGATACGATAGGAGGTCGATC